GTAACGCAGCGTTCCTACGGGAAAGTAACGGTAATCTAATTACCGTTTTTGCAATAGTAATCCCTTACTTTACTCGTTACTTGAAAAAAGTAATTGGATTACAGTAACGCGTCCATCTCTGTTCACTGGTAATTGGGGCCTTTTCATCTGAAGTTTGCATGTTCTTGCTCTACCCCTGTGGGTTCTCGCCCAGGTACTCTGACTTCAACCCACAGTTCAATGACAGACAATTTAGGAAATTACATTAAATCACATTCTAATCTCAAATCTTAGCAAGTTTTCAGTCTGTTAATGGCTTCACGACTCTAAATCATCAAAGCATAATACTTTTTCTGTCAGTTTAGACAAGAGAATCCCACCACAGCCTTCTTACATGCTTTGCGTGATATTTATTAGCCTGAATGTAATTTTCCCTCCCATATTGTGATTTTCATTAAAAATATATATATTCAAACTCACATTCAAAAACATTCAAAAAATGTTTTAATTTAACACAACAAGAATGACCAAGTTTTGTAATTTTTACATCATATTACCAAAAATATTTCCTCACCAACATAAATAATTAAATCCAGGCCACTGCCCCTTCCAGGAAAACAGTACTTGTCTGTCCACACTGTGCCAAGTCTCAGGTGGAAACATTTGGACATTTGAATTGGTTCCTCCCAAGGCCACAGAAATGGTATCACTTCTGTTCTCTCATCTGTCCCCAAGAACTAGTTGTCACCTGTTTTACAGTCACCCAAGTGAAGCCTGAGCACGCCTTGACTGTGCATCTGCAACATCTGGTCAAATTCAGCTGGCATTTTATGGAAATACTTATTAACTGGTCTGTCATCATAGTAGTGGTTAGTCAGAGTCATGCCCATTTGATGCTTTCAGTAATCTGCAGTACCAGTAGAGGTAGATATTTTATGAAATCATGGGAAAGCTTTTAAAGAGACATCATTATGAGGGTTCATAAACTCACTAATCTTGATTACTGGAATAATGGTTTGACTACAATAAGATAGTCAGATCAACAAACATACTGATTCACTGCCAGTATGTCAAGACAAATATCCACACCTACTGTAAGGAGATAGTAGTCAGTACTTGTTAGAGACAATGTCATATTTATCACAGTTTAATAAAGTCCATTTTCTGAGTGATAGCAATCAAAAGGCTGTTGATGGTCACTGCTGGGACATATGCTGACTCCACAATTGTCAGCTCCAGAAAGTATGCTCGTGCTCTTGGGACAGATTTCGTTTGTGTTATAAAAGTACATAGTACAGTTTGTATCAGATACAGTCACTATGATTGATGATTTAGTAATTTAAAAGTAGTTCACAGTGTTGGGGGGGGGGTTGTTACGGAGCCCCGCAGGGGACATGGGAGAAAAAAAAATTAAGACGGACTTTTGCGAGATCTCGCAAAAACAAACTCGGGATCTCGCAAAACTTTTGCGAGATCTCGCAAAAGAGATAATGAAGTATGTAAAAATTATTTCAAGTTAAAATTTGGAATATTGTAAACAACAATAACTTAAATAATAATTTAACCACTTGATTTAATGCATGCTTGTTTTACCCGACAGTAAATGTTAAATAAAATGGTTAAATAACTTAATACATTCTTAAAAGTCTTTTAATTCTTTTTTAAATGAAAAAGGTTAATTTATGGTCCATTTCTAACTTTTGAAGTAAAGCACTGTGTGTGTGATCATTTCAAAGGTTGTGGACACAAGTAAGGATTAATGGTTTGAGTTAAACGTATATAAAACAGTGAAATAAAATAAATAATCTGCTCACTTGGAAAAGATGTTGCTGTCCTGCCAAAAACACATGTTTCTATTGCTAAATGAAAATACATGTTGCTTGCTTGGAAGTGCAAACAATGTGGTATTTCTGGTTACAGTGGTTATGGAAGTTTATTTTGTGACCCAGAAAGAGTAATATTACAACTAAGTAGCTGCCGCCATTGTTGGAA